CGTTTTTTTATTCGTTTATTATCTTTTATATTTATTCGTTTTCCAAATAAGTCCAAAATAACCGGGTTATTCAAGTTTGAAAATTTAAAAAGAAATTGATTTTTTAAATAATTTTGTTAGCCACCTGTTTTTTTTTCTGTATTTGCATCCATTCTTTTAGCGTCGCAACTATAGAGTAAATCCGTAAGAATAGTAGGTTAAGAAATAATTATACCGTAGGAAAATTTGCTGTGAACAGGCAGTTCTAAAAAGTTTTCTAAAATATACTGGAAAATTAAAAAAAATGCACGATTTTGTTCCACATCTTTTTTTTGCGAAAAAAATCCTCATAGACGTGTTCCTGAGGTCGAAATATATAAAGTATTTACACTTATTTAAGACTCGCCCACGATATTTTTGTCTGCCCTTTTGTATACGGCTTTTAAAATAAATAAATATGAGATTCCACCAATCGGCATGCATGTATGCCATAATTTTTTTTTCAAAATTTCATGCCTCTTTCGCGTTGTCTGCCGGCATTTTAGCGACGAGAAAAATGTCTTCCAACAATTCTCCACGTTTCTTAATAAATAAACGCTATTTTCGCAATTATAACTTGTATACCTTATAATATTTTTAGTGTCAAAATTTCACCCTTCGATTAGCCGCCCCCGCTTTAAGCCCCGGGATCGCGCTGGCAGACGTGACTATTTCATAATGGCTACACAAAAGAATACTTCACAGGAAAAATTAGCCACGTAACGATGATAAGTTTTTTTTATGTAGCCAGCTCTTTGACATTTTCGCTTAAAAACAAATCGTATTTTATACTTCAATCTAGAGTGCCATGGCTGTGTTAAAAACACTAATTTTTAATCATGGAGCCTTGAAAAAATATGTGTGTGTCTTGTCCTGGCGGGTTAAAAGATCCTCAAATCGTACTTTATATTATATCTCATTTTTTTCAAATGGAACAAGGGTAGCTCATTAGCATATTTGGATAAAGCATTTTTTACGAATAATTTGGCTCCACGCACTTGGTATTTCGAGTCAAATTGTCGTTATGAACCGGTTATACAATTTCAAATAAACCATATGCGAAAATGTTAAAGTTGGCACATGGTATGTCATTCTATTTAGAGTGTCATTTTCTATCGAATAAAGTAAAAAAATACCGAGGGTGTTACTTAAAAATCAAAAGTTTTAGTAATTTCCGGTGAAACAGGAGGTAACCAAAAACAATTGAATACATCAATCAATCCTAATTTATGTATACTAACATACAAATCTCGTTTTTTTATCTGAAAAAATAAAAAAGTTATAGGAGTGAGTCACTTTTGAGACGCACCCGGTATATTAACTGATATGGATTATCGTCTATTCCTGCAATGTGTTGGAATTGAACCCGAGTCAGAGACAACTAGATAACCGGTCCACGTAACATATATTTCACATAAGTTCCTCTACTAAGCAAGCACTGGCGCTATAGCGCAACTCCAAAATTCCGAATATTGATTATTAAGGTGTACGCGCACTGAATCGGTACCAGTCCGGCGAGAAACGGGGAAGGCGGTGACTCGACTATCGTAGATAGGTAGAGGTAGAAATCTGGCCTCTACAGGCCGAAATGTTTTAGTGGACGCCGGCGCCGTTTATATGTACGATGGTCGCAGTCGCTTTTGCTGGTCGGTCCGATCCGATGCAGTGCGCGCGGAGCCTTACGAAGTCGTACGAATGAACAGCTGATAGTAGTGTCTAGTCTCTTATTGGTCTAGTTATCCGATCGATAATTCATAATCCACGCTTGCGCACAAGCCTTGTGCTCGCTTAACTGAGCGACTTATGCAAATTCCTTTAGAAAATTTATATAAAGGAAAATTAAAACAACTTTCGTTATCAATGTCATCAATGACATTGTCATGTCATCAATGACACCATGCGTCGTCTTATGGAGTTTGCTGGTGGTCGTATTATTATAGCCATTTCACCGCCTTGGCTTCACAGAGTGCAATTTGGAGTGGATATATTTTAGTTTATAAATATATTTTTTCCTCATATAGTTTGTTTATGACTAGGGCAGTTAAATTTTGAACAGATATTTGTATCTATTCTGATAATAATGTATAGAAATAATAATAGCTAATAAATAAAATATTTCTCTGTTAACTCTTTTTAGTAGTATCATGATAAATAGCTTATACAGGGTGTTTCAAAAAACCATCTCTGTGCCATCTCTCATGGGGAGATTCCCCACGTAAAAATAAGATTAATTTTTCATATCAACATACGTCCGATTCTGCTCTGTTTCGTAGCTATAGGATGTTAAAGTTTTAATATTTTTTCGATTTATTATTATTTTCTTCCAAGTACTTTTAGCGTTACGAATGAAATTTTGAGGGTAAAAATATAAATGCGACATATTTTAAAGCTAAAAAAGTGTCGACATATTCACCAGGGACGTGCATATGGGTTATCACTGGAATATTTTTCTAAAAAAAGATGTACGCCACTGACCTTTTTTATCTCTTGTTAGCGAAATAGTGTAAGTAGTTTAATGCCGATTAAAAGTTGTCTCTTGATATTTTGTCGATTTCGGTCTCTTTGATAAGATAATCGCAATTTTATTAATTTGCCTTGATCCAAGTCTAATAGCAACCTTTAAAAAAATTAAAATATCATTAACTTGTGAAAGTTTTAAATAAGTACTCATTGATTCCTCATCAAAAAATATGAAAAAAAGTTCCTATAAACATGGGTAGTAGTATAGTTTTCGAGTTACAGCAGTGGCGTAGCTAGGTAACCAAGGGCCCTGGGGCAAATTAAAAAATGGGGCCCCACTGCTATGTAAACTGATTAGGTTTTATTAAATAAAAATATGAAATATACAAATACTTTAAAAATGCTAAGCTACTTAAGCTCTTTTTTGTGGTAATAAAAATATTAAACAGTAACAACATAAATTACAATAAATACTTGGTGTAGGTTTGGCTAATAAAACGAAATAGAGAAGATTCAAGAGTTTATTATATAAAGGTCGGGCCTACCAACTGACTAAATAACAATAATTATATTTACAATTTTTTCCTAGCTTTAGTTTTCGCAAAAGTATCAATGACTACGTTTAAATCCAGGCTTGATGTGGTTTTGTTTTCAATTGCTATTAGCGATAAATGTCGGAGTCGAATTTGGCCCATATTATTTCTTAAATAATTTTTTATTATTTTTAATTTGCTAAATGACCTTTCAGCTGCTGCAGAAGTGACAGGAATTGTAAAGAATAATAACATTGCTGTAAATACTTCCGTTAGGTCGCATTCTAGCACTCCATATTTGCTCATTATTAAGAGTTCAAGTTGTCAGAATAAATACATACAATTTATTTAGAGACTTCATGGTATTAAAAATAATTACTAATCTATTAAAAATTTTGTTTTTATTATACGAAGTAGGTATATTTGTAAAAACTAGTACTAGATTTTTTAATAATTTATAGTGGCAGAATGGCGGCAAATGAGTTTTTGGTGGCAAAACAATTTTTACATACAAGTATATCGGTATATAAATATGTTTATATTAATGCCCACTTGCACCGTTTGTATAAACTTTGTTTAAAGCCTAAACAGCGATTAACTATAATAAAATAATATATAGTTAATCACTGTTTAGTCTTTAAACAAAGTTTATACAAACGGTGCAAGTGGGCATAAGTATTCTAAGGACTTGTGTTTAGATGGCGAAGTATGTACAGGGTATCCAATTTTGGTTGAAATCATACGGTATCTCAGTTATTAGTAAAAGATATAGGAGAATGCGGTTTGCACAAACCTTGCCCTGAACTAATGTACCTACTGCAGGTGACTTGCATTTTTTCACGATATTTTGCGTTATACAATGAGCTGTAGCCGAAATCTATAGATTTGACACGATTTATTGACTTAACGGACATCAGTATGAGTGGTAAAATCAAATAAAATTGAACCACTATATTGACCAGTACAAAAAAGTTTATTGACATTAGCTTACAAAAAATATGCCTGATACAACATTAATTTTTTAACCGTTCTCGAAAAAAAATTCTTAACTCGAATTCACGATAAAACGCACATCGATGGATAATAAAACGCACATATCACTATCCGTCAAATTGGCAACCTACAGAAAGAATTTAGGGGAATTCCCTAGGCATAACTTTTGAATTTCTCTCAACTGGGTTGTCATGATTAAAGTGGGGTTGCAACCTGTTATATTTATTTTTGAAAATGGGAGAAATTTCCAAACGTTCAGTTCGATCAAGATTTCTGGTAAGGATTCGAGGGCCCCCTGAGCTTGAGGGCCCCGGGGCACTGCCCCGCCTAGCCCCTAGGTAGCTACGCCACTACAGTTACAGGATGTTAAATCTGTTTAAAATTAGGGTTTTTGTGATTATCTCAAATACCATTATTTTTCTATTTGAAATTACTGTAGGTTGGATTAATAGTAATAATAACTAACAGTAATAATATTTAATAATAAATTAGGTAAAAAATATAATTTATTGATTTAATTTTAATTTTAATTTTATTAATTGTGATTAATGAAATTGCGTTTATCTCATCAAGGAGGCCGAATTCGACAAAATATCAAGAGATAACTTTTAATTGGCATTAAACGGCCTATACAATTTTGATATTAAAACAAAAATCAGTGGCGCACATTTTTTTTGAAAAATATACCAGTGATAACCCATATGCACCTCCCTGATGAATTTATCGATACTTTTTTAGCATTAAAATATGTACCTAGTAGCACTTTTGTAACTTTTACCCTCAAAATTTCATTTGAATCATTAAAAGTACTTAGAAAAAAATTATAATAAATCGAAAAAGATTATTAAGATTTTAACACTCTGTAGCTACGAAACAAAGCAGAATCGGATCTGTGTTGATATGAAAAGTAAATCTTATTTTTACGTTTACTTATTTGGCACATGTTTTTTGAAACACCCTGTAGAGACATTATCTATTATATTTATGATGTTTTAGGTATTCAGTGTTGGAATCCAGCTTTTGATGTAACACCCGCATCTCTTATTGCCGGAATTATAACGGAGAAGGGGGTGTTTAAACCAGAACAGCTGAAAGAGGCGTTGAGCACGATCACCAATTGAGATACGAAACTTATAAGTATTCTATATTTAACAAATCGACTATTTTTGGATGATTTTTACCGATTGTTAAATTAATTTTACAAGATAGAGTATTTATTTAAACATATATTAAAGAGTCATTGAATAGTATTTTTTACCGATTCAAACAATTTTGATACATTATTTTTATTATAAATACGATTTGATTCTTACAGGATTTTGATATTTCAATGTTCAGACGCACAACTATTTTAATATACTGTCTAAAAAGACTTTCGATTGTTACAGATTTAAATTGATGATTTTTTATATATGTAGCTTTATAGCATTTCATATTCCATTATGAAAAATTAGAAAGTACTTTTTCATATTATGTTTCATTCATTTTCCTGATTGTGTCATTCCTGTAAATTGTTAATGTTTTTGTCTAAAATATAACTGGTATTATTGCATCATTTGTTTTTGTTATTTTTTTTTGAAAAAATACACTGTAATATTAATGCACGTTTTCTATTAGTAATAAAACATTTATACTTTTCCAATATTTTATGGATGAATCCATATACAGGGTGGTCCGAACTGTATTCCGGAAACTTCGGCGGCATATTCTGCAGATAAAAATAAGTAAAAAACTTCGTATAGATATATATTCAGAGATACAGGGTGTAGAAGGGTGCGATTTTTTCTAAATAATTTCTGAAGTAACGTCAATATTTCGATGAAAATTGGTGTCTGGGAGTTTTTTGACATGAGAAATTTGGGGATTTTGATGTCAATATGACTCCTACTAGTAGAGGGCGCCATCTACATTTGTTTTAACTATTTTAAAGCGTAATAACTTTTTGTCCGTACCTGTATAAAACTACCGAGCAAAAAATATACATCTCTGTGACTTTTTACGTAAAAAATATCTCTTTGTAAAAATCGCTCGGAGCAACCGTTCTTAAGATATTTAGAAAGGAAGTAGTCAATACATGTCATTATTGACGAAAAATCTTTGAATAAGAAGACTAAGGAAGGAGCATATCAAAAATCTTAGGTACACCGCGATGGGCCTCAAATATGGCCGATTTAAATTCCGGTTTATCAGTGTCGTTATAATTTTATTTAAAAAATGTAAAACTATGATGTAGGGTAGACGTGGGGTAGACTCAATAATTTGTTTTTTTATTTTACGTTGTGAATAAATGTTGGTAGTTATTAAAATTGTCATAAAAATATATAATTCTAATAAAAATAGATAAGTTATAATAAGTATTTATTACCACAAACATCCGATACGCTACTGAAGCAGGTAAGTCAAATTAACGTATCTAAATTCTTTGACATCTAATCTTTGACAAGTAATAAATAAAAGCTAAAATGCAAGAAAAATATATAATTTAGTTAATTTAAGTGAATTTCATAAATGATCGGTTTACTACACGTATGTATATTATATAGTCATTTACTAGCGAAAAGTTGTTCCATTATTTCACTCAATTTTGCCGAGATCTACCGCACGCTACACAACCAACTATTTTAGAGTCTTTTTCGATAAATCGCGATAGTGTCACTGTTAATTTAAGTGCTGCCACAATTTCCATCTAGATTTACTACCTTTATATAACTATCAGTAGTAGAATAAATAATAAATAACATAAAATAAGCTCCGTAAAGACTGACAAATCCACAAAATTTCAAATCAAATTCAAATGTGTCAAATGAATCGTCAAACAGAACTGTCAAGGATCCCCACCCTAGAGTGCTTTTATGGCGCTTTTTCCGCCCACCATGCATGAATACATGGATAGCATTATGCTCCTTCCTTAGTCTTCTTATTCAAAGCGAAAAATAAACAGGTTGAGTAGATAGTTATTTCACTGAAACAATAAATTTGTGAAATTTTTATTTTTGTAAATTAATCATACATTTTCTGTAAAAAATGATGATAAAACAGTTTCTGTTGAACTTTTGGCACAAAAACATTTCAAATTTATGATTTCAGCCTAATAATTATTTAGTCAACATGTTTAATTTATGTCAATGACAACAGGTATTGATAATATCGAGATTCCAAATATCTCGAAAACCATTACTCGTAGCCATTTTTACCAACAGACCTTTTTCACGTAAAAAACGTAAATGTATATTTTTTACTCAGAAGTTTTATACAGGTACGGACGAAAAGTTATTACTCTTCAAACCAGTTAAAAAATATGTAGGTGGCGCCCCCTACAAGTAGGAGTAATATTAATAATCAAAATCAAATTTCTCATGTCAAAAAACTCCCAGACACCAATTTTCATCCAAATATTGACGTTACTTCATAAGTTATTTGGAAAAAATCGAAATAAAAATGAAACTTCGACACCCTGTATCACCGAAACTAAGCGTTTTAGGACATACATTTATACGAACTTTTTACTTATTTTTATCTGCAGAATATGCTGCCGAAGTTTCCGGAATACAGTTCGGACCACCCTGTGTAGTGATGTAAAATTACCGGTAATTTATAAATCGGTAATATTACATCGGTAATTTATAAAAAAACAGCTTTTTAAATAATATTATTTTTTTTATTTCAAAACTTTAAAAACATGACAAAAAAAATCAAGAACTTTTACAAGCTAATCAGAGTCAGAGTGGCCTATGTTATAATACATAATAGAGTGATCTTGTCATATGGTTCTTCTTTCTCTTAAGGCGGGTTCTCACTTGTCAGTTTCGCTGACGCAGTCTGACTGATTCATTATCAATGAAAAATAAAAAACAACGATTGTATTCACACGTTTCATGTTTTGCTACATTCAGTATTCAGTTGGTCCAAACATTCTAATGTGGTGATTTCGTATAGACATGAAAATGGTTAAAACAAAATTGAAACCAGGTGTTCGCGAAGTTTGTTTACAATTAGCAAATGAATTACAGAATATTCTGGTGAATCAGAAAAGAAAAAAAAAACGTCGTAGGTGGTCAGGTCCTGGATATTGCGAAGAAATAAACGGGGTGCTATAGTGAAACTATATTAAAATAATTAATTAACTTAACTTGTAAACTGCACAAATCACGAAAATGTAATTCTCACGCTTCAGTTTCTATTCATTATTCGATAATGATCAGTCAAAATGAAAAAAAGTAGAACTGGTTTTCACTTTAACTGAAAGTACGAATGTACTGATCATTTAACATGAAAATGTGTTCTGACGTTCATTGTTTGTTCAGTATCACTGAATCAGTCAGACTGCGTCAGCGAAACTGACAAGTGAGAACCCGCCTTTAGCATCCATTTCTTTCTTAGCAGCTTTCTAGCATTTTTGGATGTTCTTCTCCATTTAGTAAATTATAATTATGGGCAATATACCTAAGTGTTTTTAAAAGTTAACCTTTTCACGGTAAGTTTGTTTCTTGGTCGATAGACAAATGCATAAATCTTAGACAAGGAAAGAGAGGGGACAGCTAACACGCATATTCTCCCGTGATCGGTTAGTGAGGCCAAAATTCGATCGGCGGCCATACTTTGGTGACACCGAGAGAATTTTTATGTTTTTTGTGACAACTGTTTTGTTTTAAATTTATAAACTGTATTGTTTAGTATGGTGAGATGTTCAACGTATGGCTGCAAAGGCCGAAGCGAGAAAAAAAGTGGCTGGAATTACATTTCACAGATAAAAATCGATACACAACTTTTGTTATGTGGTCATAAAATGTACATATTTTTATTATAGCAGTAAAAATATGTAAAATGCTTTTAATATGTTTTGTACCACACCCAAACCAAACTATTTTTAATAATTCCAAGTAGTATTTTCAATATCCTTTATTATAATTAATGTTTGAAACTATAAATAATGCTACTCAGTATGGATTTCTCCAGTGGCGTAGGGAATTATAATCAGAGAAATACAATTTCTGCAATAAACATTTTTTTATATATTTTACATGTAAAAAAATGTATGAAGTATTGTTATCAAATATGTAAAATAATTGTAAACTATAAAAACAATTACAAATTCTAGTGATAAAAAATCTATATGTATAGTTGTTATATAAAACTTAAATTTACCTGCCAAGATTAGCTAGGGGTGGACAAACTTGTGGTGGGCTACTTGTTACTACATATATTTTTTTAAATATTCTTTCAAAAAATTTGCTAATTTAGGTGTATAATAATAATCTCAGTGAGTAATTAATAAAATTTAAAATAAATAAAATAACACAAAGCTTCTAGAATTGTTTATTTTTTTGTGGAAAATTAGGATATTCTTATGATTGAAGGTAACAAATATTAAAAATTACATTATTCATTGAATCCGTACGCAAGTGTGAAGGGGAATGGCTAGATTAATTATTATACCGTATGGTCGAAAAAAAACGACGTCCAGTTGGCTTGTAAATGACGATCGACGGCATTCCCCATATAATTTTACATATAAAATGACAGCGATCTTCATTTCATAGCTATCGCTGACGCCGTCTTTTTTCGATGTCGTTTTGTATAGTTTTTATGTCATTTTATATGTAGAATTATATGGGGAATATCATCGATCGTAATTTACAAGCCAACTGGACGTCGCTTTTTTTCGATTATACGGTATAATAATGAATCTAGTCAATTCCCTTCACACTTGCTTACGGATTCAATGAATAATGCAATTTTTAATATTCATTTGTGAAATTGTCATTTCCAAACAAACAAGACGCCGTTTTTTTCGATCATACAGTATATATGTATATACACGTTTAAAACATATGTTATTACATTATTTTTTATTTAATTATACATTATACACACGTTAATAAATAAATAATTGTCTTGATAATCAGTCCACTGTGACTTAGATATTCTAATATTATAAAGGTGAGACTATAAAATACAAAATTGTATATGCATTACTCCAAAATGAACGATATATTAGTTTACGTTTTAATAAATATTTTGTACCGTCTAGGTACAAACTAATTTCTGATGCTACGCCATTGGAGAATCTCGCGTGGTGACAACTTGCCTCACTTTCAGCTGCCGTGTTACCTGTCCCCCCTGTCCCCTCTCTTTCCTTGTCTAAGGCATAAATACTATAGGTTCTTTCGCTTGCTGTGCTGTTTACGATGGTAAATTTAAATTGTCTATAGCCAACATACTCATTTTAGAGCTGGAGCAAATTCCTGCCCACTAGACAGGTCTAGACATAGACTTTTTGCTGGTAAGGACTAATTCTTTAGCAATAATATTACCTCTAATTTTGTATTGTGCCAGTCAAGCTTCCATAATGAGATCTACTTGTGAAAAACACTTTGGATGATGCCTTGCAGTTTCATACTTTTTTAAATGTTCTGCAGAATATTTTAGGCAGGTTAGGGATTAACAGGAATATTGTTTTAGCGGGAGATTTTAATGTCCATTTTAATACAGGCCAGACAGAGGCTGTACAATTGTGTGATGTTCTTGAGAGCCACGGCTTTGTGCAGA